CCCCAAAACCCCAAAACCCCAAAACCCCTATTATAAATGAGAGTATGATGGAATTGAATAAATTTTAATTTATAGGAGTTAGTGAATAAATGAGTTAAATGCAAAATAGTGCTCAAAAATCTAAAACTTATGTGAAAAAAGTAGGATTAACTCTAAACTCTGCCATTGATAGATCAAACGAAAACTATGAAAAGTAGGCGCAATAAAAAGTAGATAATTAAGGTAAAGAATAATTGGTCAATAGGATGATCGAATTACACAGGCATAATTCTAGTTTACTATCACCAAAGTAAAGCAGAAATACCCGAGGAAATGTTTTAAAAAAGTTGAATTATTTAACCAATGATGGGAGGAAAGATTAGCATAGCCATCAAGATAATATAGCCTCAAATAGTAGATATGACAGCAAGCTAATGACACCTAAATCAATCGGAAAATCTTCTACATAGATATCTGAATATATTATGCAGCTAAAGTCTCCTACGACAACTAAGGGAAAATAAGATTTTATAGAAAAGAATAAGACTCATTTATGCGAGCCAAAAACATTAGAATTTGATAAGATTTAAGAGGTAGATCTATACAGACAATAAAAGACACCTAATATTCATAAAAATGGGGGATGCTAAAAAAGTAGTGCGAATGCGACATTTACAGATGATAAGCTATCCTCATTTAAATCATCTATCATTAGCTAGCAGGCATCAGTCAATTCAGTAATGTATCAAACCTTCGACTAAAATATAAAGTCTCCGAAGCAGAATTCCAGCAACACCCTAAGAGTTAATCTTAAAGATTATATGAACTTTGAGAATGATTAAAAGGTAGATAGGATTAAAAAGCATAATCCAAATGTTAGAGTGCTAAAGAAGAATAACTCAGCTATCAATATCATTTCTGATCCATTCAATATTACAATTGATATCAATAATAAAGGGACATTAAAATTTAATAAAAAAACAAAAGATAAGCCTAATAATGGAAAAGATTTTCAAAAGGAATATTTATAGTATGGAGTTTGGCCTGAGATGAGCTATTAAAATTAACAAGAAATAAGGTAAAAATAAAGATAAACTGAGAGAGAAAAATCATCTGAAAAGCCATAGATTATCATAAATAGTCTAAGCAAGGACAAACTAGCATTTGAAATTAATGATAGTCATCATCTTTATTAATTTAGAACTTAAAACCTGAAAAGCATGGAATAAAATTCAAATGAGAAAATCGAAACTGATTGTAAATTCTAGCAGGTTTAGCCTAAACATTGTGTAAGTGGTTCTTGCATTTGCTGCTAGTAGCTGAATATAGAAAAAGAAGATCATAATAGAACTAAAAAAGCTTTGGATTAGGCTTTGTAGCTCGCAAATCTGCTAATGAGAGAAATTCATTTGATTGATAAAAAAATTACATCGACTGTTTATAGCGAAGACTATGGAGTAAGCTAGTAAATAATTCCTCTCTAAGATAATACTTATTCTCCAACAAGCATTAATAATAACAGTCAGAATCATATGGTTGGGCATAAAGAAAGTAAGAAATAGCTCTATCAAAGCATTTAAGATTTTATTGCAACCTAGCTTCTAAAGTCATCCTTCCTTGATAATGAAATAAAGTATAACAGCACAAGTAGTACCTATAATCAAGATGATGTTGCCAATGAATTAGAAAATAGACCTTTACAGCAATCAGCAAGTAAAAATAGATTTAAAAGAGAGAATAAATTAACAAAGGGAGATGAAAAGCAGACATTGTGAGACTCAAAAAATAAGCTTGGACGAAATTTCCAATTAAAGTTGATTCAGCTAATTGTAAATGATATATGAAAATGACAAGAACACTCTCTTACAATATTTAAACTAATTTAGTTAATTTAAATAAAATTATATAAATTTAAATAAATGACAAAAGTTACCCAAACAAAAGATAAGGATTTCGATACGATCGAGCCTAGAATCAGCTTCACTGATATGACTGAAGAGAGAAGAGTCTTATGCATTGAAATATGCAGAGAAGCCTATAGTAAGTAGCATCTCGATTCATTCAAATTGTTAATAACAAACTTAGAAATGCAGCATGATGGAGAATTAAAGTACTTCAAGGATATGGCGCTTCATATAAAACATGAAATGGAAAAGAAATAATAAGGCTCATGGCATGTCATTGTAGGTAAGTGATGCTTTATGTTGAGATCTATTCTATCATTTGGCATGTGTAATTAAATGCTAATTAAGAATGAACATGAAATCCTTTTTATGAGCTTCATCTTTTCAATTAAATGATTCTATCTAATAATTACTTAGGAACAAACTTTGGATCCTATGTGACTTATGAGCATAAAGGGGTGATATTGTTCTGGCTAGAAAATATTGGCTTTCTACTCTTCAAGCATGGATGAGTTAATGATTGAAATCAGTCAATATATAAATAAAATAAGTTAACTCTGATTTAAAGAAGTCAGTTATACATTTCCTTCTTCATTTAATCCTTAATAAACAACATTAGGGGTTTTGGGGTTTTGGGGTTTTGGGG